CTGGTCTAGCTCAGGAAAAGAGCAGACAGAGTGAAGGGTAGCTCTGCTTGGTAGTGTGGCAGAGTGGTTTAGCTCTACCTCTAAGAGAGAATAGAGTACCTGTTAAGCCTGTCTCTGGTAATGAGTAGACCCCGTACAATTTAGCCTGACTCTTGGGAAAGGGCAGGCTGGTGTGGGTGGAATGCTGCTTGTGTGATGAGAAGATCCAACCTAATGGCTAGTGAGTAAAAGTCTGTTTATGCCTGAAAGCATTAGGGAAAATTCAAACTACTCTCTGAAGCCATAACTGGTTTAAATTAATGTTCCTCAGCCAGGTTTCTCCTTTGTCGAATTGGAGATCTGTACTGCTTTATCTGTTCTTTGAAACTAACTTGTAAGTAAATAAATCTTCTGTATTGTAATATATTATTCCTGCCTCAGTGATCTCCATATTCTATTTGCTGACCACAAAACTTGCCTCATGGCAGCAAACCCATTCCTATTAGGGTTGCCAGGTCCCCCCCGGCCACCGGCTGGGGATGAGGCAGTAGGATGGCCAAATCCAGGTTAGGAAACTTCTGGAGATTTGAGGATGGAGTCTGGAGAGGACAGGGACCTCAGTGGGATACAATGTCATAGAGCCTATCCTACAAAATATCCATTTTCTCCAGGGAACTGATCTCTATAGTCTGGGGATGAGCTGTAATTCCAGGAGATCCCCAGGTCCCATCTAGTGGCTGGTATCCCTAATTCCTATACACTTGCTACCTTAAGAACACCTCATAACTGAGGGGAAAGTTTATAGTTTAAAACAAACTGGGTTCCCCAAAAATCACAGGGGGCTATGTGGGTCCCCATGTTACCTAAACAGGCGGTCTTCTATTTAGTTGGGGGAATTCGCTTAAAGGAGACAAAATTAGAGGGGGTAACTGGGATTCTCCACCTATGTATATAGGGATCTTTCCCTTAGAGAACTGTCGAAATAAATCAGGCCGATGTTCAGCTGAAAAGGGTTTTATTGAAACAGGAATAAAAGGGCAAAACACACACATACAAAAACACAGAAAACACCCAAGCTAGCTACAAGGAAATCAGGGAGGAGATTGGAGAAAGCAATTTTGGAGAAGGCTATAATTACCAGTCTCAAAGAAAGAGGTCCACAGAGGCAGCAGCAAAATGACCAGCATTTCACGGAGCAAAGAAGGGAAGGCCCACACACATTTATAGGGCAAACTGTGCCCTCTGGCAAGTATGATGTGTTTGCCAGAAAATCAATAACTTAATGGGCTTTTCTGAGTTGGACAATGATTTGGGAGAAACTTGATGGGTTTATCTGAGGTGAACTATAGGTGTTAATGGTGCTTTGATGGAAAAAGCTACAAGGTTTGGTGAATAGTGTTAACTGTTGCTTAATTAGTGTAAATGGGTGAGGGGAAATGAGACTGGGTGTGAATGAGGTTAATCCAAGGTAAGGAAATAGAGTTTTCTTGGGACACCTGTTGTCCTAAAATATGTGTCTGTCTAGGGTGAGGAGGAGGTTGTTAGTTGGCCAGCTGCTCTTACTCATACTTCTAAACTATATGTCCACACTTGTCTCTGTCTGACATCCATTTTCTGTCCTTTTGGGCCAGGCACTGTAATGAATTTATGATATTTTATATAGTAGGAAGGGTGTTTATGATTTTCTAGCTATAAACTGCCCCTCAGCAAGAGGAAGGTCTGACTGTTAATACCCTCAGTTGATAAAAACACTGTCACAATTATATGGCCAGCATTTAAAAAAAATGAGATTCCCGCTAACTTTATATACTCTGGCCTGCATGCCCTGTTCCACCGTACCCTCCAAGGATTTCCCAACACATGAAGAGGCTTTTCTTTCTCTCTTGGGTAACCCCCCACCGCCACCTGACCTTTGTAAGGAATTGCCTGCTGGGAGGGTCAGGACTCCCAGCTTCCCTTCCAAGTTCTGAGGCCTTGCCTCTGTGTCTCCCACTGCCCAGTGCCTGGTCACCAAGGGGACAGTTTACTGCCTTGTGTGGCCCTGGAGAAATAGCCATTTTCCAACTGCCTGCTACCCCCCTGGTGCTCCTTTTAAAATAGCGTGTTTGAGATTTTTCACACTACTTTTAACAAACATCCAATTCTTTTTTTTCCAATTAAGAAAAAAGTGTAATAGACAGGATACAGCTAGAAGATGAGAGAACAGAAAGGAGAATTTATTTATGCATTTATTTACAGCATTTCTCTGCCACTTTTTGACTCAAATTTACCCCTTTGCCTATCAAAAATGGTCAGATGCAACTGAATATGGTGGCTATAACTTTTTCTGGATTGTGCTGTACATGGATCACAGCATATGTTTTAGCAGAATATCAACTCCAAGGCACTATGTCTACAGGCATCAAAATAGCAAAGCATAAAATCTAACAATCCATCTAGGTTAATTCCCCACAGTTTTCTTAATCCAGCGGAGATATCTCTTTGTGAGACGAGTATAGACACCTGGGTATTTGGGATAACCACATTTCCCTGGTTCACCGAAAGAAGTGATGCCTCTTTGTATTCCCTCGCATATCAAAGGGCCACCAGAGTCACCCTGGGGAAAAGAGAGAGAGACACTTGCCATTATCTGGAATAATTAAAACCTGCCTTTATTCCATCAGACTAGGGGTGCGGTCAGACAGCGTGCTGGGAGCGGTTTAAATTGCTCCGGCCCTGATGCGGTCTTTTTTAACCTG